TTGTCTTCTTATCTCTTTTTTAAATCCTTTGCTTGTTTGTTTGTTTGTTTTTTTTCTTAAATCCCACATATGAGTGAAATCATATGGTATTCATCTTTCTCAGACTGACTTATTTCCCTCAGTATCATAGGCTCTAGCTCCATCCACATTGTTGCAAATGGACAAGGAGTTTTTCTTTGAGGCAGAGGGATATGATTGAGGTAGTACGGGGAGCAAGCAGAGTCCAGATACAGTAGGAGAAATAACATCGTGTTTGTTCAGCGGGCGGAATAACATCATGTTTATATGTAGATAGTAATGATTCGGTACGGAGGTAGTGATGTTGCAGGAAGAGGAGTGATTGCTGGGAGGCTGTGCTTGAGTAAGTCAGAGTGGAAGGATTGTTCTTGGTTGGGGGGCGGTGGACCGTTGACTTACAGGAACATATTGGCAGGCAGAGTACATGGGCAGAGAAGCATTTCCCTGTAAAAGAAGGAAGTCCTCCATCTGTGCAGAATGTGGGAAGGGATCTGAGGGTCTGCTTCATTCAGGCCTTCTGTTTTTGGTACCATCTTTAGCCTCATTAAGAGGAGATCTGTGAGAAATTAATTTTCGGAAAACTCCTAAGATAAATGAGTTTTAGGCTCTTTACTGCAGCTTTTCACAGTCTTTGGTCTACTAATGAATACTGGGGGTCTGTAAGGAGGCAGAGTTTCCCAAATTTATTTGACCACAGAACCATTTTTTCCCACTGATCGTTCGTATTTGAAATAAATAGAACCAATTTCAGAAAGACTAACCTAGTTTATTTCTCCTTCCCTAATTTGCTGAGTTGGCCAGGGTTCTTCTTTGCAAGAGCAGAAAACCCAATTTAAACTAATTTAAGCCGCAGAGGGAATTTACTGGCTCACATAACTGGGCAGAACAGGCTTTTGATCCAGGTGTTTAAATACTGTCAGTGTTCTCTCTCCAGCCCCCATTACGCTTCGTTCCCTAGGCAGTTTCTGCCCTATGGCGGGCAACATGGCCCCCAGCATCCTCAGTCTGACATCTTCCCTACTTAGCCACTTCAGTGAAAGGGAAGCCGTCTCTCCTGTTAGCTCTGGCATAGAAGTATTCTTTTTTTTTCTTTTTTTAGATTTTTATTTATTTGACAGAAATCACAAGTAGGCAGAGAGGCAGGTAGAGAGAGAGGAGGAAGCAGTCTCCCCGCTGAGCAGAGTCTGATGCGGGGCTCAATCCCAGGATCCTGGGATCATGACCTGAGCCGAAGGCAGAGGCTTTAACCCACTGAGCCACCCAGGTGCCCGTGGCACAGAAGTATTCTTGATGGTTTCCAGTGATCGGGCTTGTCACGTCCATCCCTGAACCACTTATTGTGGTCGGGAGATGGGTCACTTTAAAGGCTTGAGTCCTTGGCCGCATTCCTGTGTCTAGGGAAGGAGGAGTGATAGGCAGGCCCACCAGGACAATGCGGTATACATGTTAACCACATTTTAACCAATCTTTAGTAGATTATTTTTAATCTTTTGCTGTTACTACCAGTGTAGAACTATCTTTGAACACAGGTTTGTCTGATTTACTGGGCATAATTTGTTACAGTTGTATAGAGTCTGTTACAGTAAAGAGCACAAAATGATCCTGGTGGGAAACTGCTCATTTAATTGAAAGTTGTTCATGGGAGGATGAGGCAAGAGAAGAGAGGGAAGATTTGTCTGAGAGGCTTGAGCCCGACAGGGAGTATTAGGATCCTCAACACTGGTTTGGGCAACCCGGATGCGGACTAGTGGTCGTTCGGTATACCTACATCACGTAGGCATTCGAGGCTACATGAAGTAGCAAATGGGCTTGGGCTCCTTGGGTAAGTTAGCTCTTTGTGTTTCAGGTGGCTCTTTAAAGTGAGAACAGTAACACCACCAAACTCATGGAGGTGCAGATGCTTAATGAATGACCCCGTGAAGCACTTCTTCATAAGTGTAGTAGTAGTATTCAGTCAGTGCACTCAGCGTATATTCCTTTTTCTTTCCAGATAACTTTTTTCTTAATTATTTTATTTTCACATAATTATAGATTCACTTTCAGTAATAAAAATTATGTGGAGATGCTATAAGGTTTATCCAGTTTTCCCCAGTGGTAACATCTTGCGAAACTGTAATATAGTATCACTGCAGGGGCACTGACATTGACAGAGTCAGGATGGAGAACATTTCCATCACTCCCAAGGATCGCTCCTGTTGCCTTTCGATAATTACATTCATTTCTCCCCTGTCCTCCTCTGCTTAACCCCTGCTAACCTCTGTTGTGTTCCCTATTTCTGTAATTTTGTTACTTCAGTCTCAAATATGTTCTATAAATACAACCATGAGTATGTAACCTTTCGGGCATGGCTCGCTCCACTCATTATCATTCCCTGGAGACTGAACCAGGTGCTGTGGGTACCGGTCGTAGGTGTTGTGTTGCTGGGTGTTGTGTGGTATGCGGGTGCTAGAGCCTGTTTGCCTGTACCACCCACTGAGGGGCATCTAGGTGTTTGCAGGTTTCGCCTACTACAAAGAAACATTGGTGCTGTCACCATTTGAGTTGAGGCTTTACATGTCTTTATTTCTCTTGGATAAACCCTCAAATGTAATTGCAGGGTTACGTGGTCGTCACATGATTAGTTTTTTAAGAAAATGCCAAACTGTTTTCCAGAGTGGCTGTGCCATTTTATGTTCCCACTAGGAGTGTGTGAGTGATCCAGTTTCTCTCCGTCCTTGTAGGCTTTAATGGTCTCGCTGGTTTGTCCTGTAGCCATTCCGATAGGTACGTGTAGTGATACCTTACTGTGGTTTGGGTTTGTATTTCTCTGGTGATGAGTAATGTGGGCCCTCTTTAAATGTGCTTATTTGTCCTCTCTGTATCCTCTTAGGTGAAATGACTTTATGTTCTTTGTCCATTTACTAATTGTATTTTTTTTAACATTTTTTTTTTCTTTAAAGATTTTAATTTTAAGTGATCTCTGCCCTCAACATGGGGCTTGAACTCACAACCTTGACATCAAGAATTGCACGCTCCACCAGCTGAAGCAGCCAGGGACCTCTTTACTATTGTGTTTTGAATTCTAGATACCATCCTTTGTCAGATAGGTGGTTTGCAAACATTCTCTCCCACTCAGTAGCTTGACTTCTTACCTTCTCAAAGGGGTCTTTTGCAGAGCAAAGGTTTAAAATTTTGGTGATGTCTGGATTTATTAATTTTTCTTTTTATGGTTGCACTTTGGTGTCAGGTCTAAGAATTCTTCACCTAGCTCTAAGTCTAGAAGATTTTCTCTTACGATTTTTCCCAAAAGCTTACAGTGTTTACATTTAAGTTCATGATACATTTTAAGTTAATTTTTGTGTAAACTATGAAATAGATTGAGGTTCATTATTTTGGTCTATAAACGTCCCGTTGCTCCAGCACTAATAGAAAAATTTATCTTTCTTTCATTGAATTGCTTGTGTACTTTCATGAAAAATCCCTTGGGCATATTTGTGTGGGTCGTTTGCAGGTCTCTGTTCTCTTCTCTTGATTCGTATTTCTGTTCTTCCTCCAATGCCACATAGTCTCGATTACTGTTTCTGTATAATAGAGTCTGAAAATTGGGCAGCCCAGTTCCTCCCACTATTTCTTTTTCACAATTATTTCAGATATTTTAATTTTTTTTAATCTTCCCGGATGAATTTTGGAACAGTCTTATCTATGTCCATGAGACATCTTGCTGGGATTTTGATAGGAATTTGATTTTACACTTGTTTACCAGTTTGGTTTTCACTAAGTGGGCGGGGAGGGCCTGGAGGTTCTTTACTGGTGGGTTGGCTGGTTTGAAAGTCCAGAGTCCCTACTCTGGTTCTGTCCTGCTGGAGTGTTTTGGGGTACCTCATTACAGCAGTAGAAGTCAAGAGGTGGGACTCCAGTTTTGTGTTTTGTGGGACTTTTTATGTTTTGTTTTATGGAGTAGAATGGTTATTGTCTGAAAATTTTCGTCTCGCTAGGCCACACCTTTTCTGGTTCTTTGCAAAGAGAACAGTCTTTTGGGGGGGCTTTTATTGTCTGCATCTGTTGGGCTGCTGGCTTCTTCAGCTTCAAGTCTGGGATATAGAAGGCAAAAGAAACCCCAAGCGACTCACCGTTGTGTTGTTCCTTGGGTTCCCAGGTCCCTAGCCAGTTTACCTCTTCCTCTCTGCCTTTCAAAGTCTTCTAATGTTTATTTTATATATAATCTCCCTAGTTTTAGTTGTATTTAGTGGGAGGAGGGAGGGAAAAGTATGTCTGTGCTGTCTTCCTGGAAGCTGTATCCACATTTTTCTTAATTTCAAACATTTTGAACTTTCAGTAAAGTAGAATTGGATAAGGAACACCAACACACCTATGTCTTAGATTTAGGACTTGTAAATGTTTTCCATATATCTTATCTATTTTTATTGTTTTAAAGTAAATTATAGGCATAATGATATATAACCTCCAAATACTTAATAAGCATCTCTAAGAAGATTTTCTAAAAATAATAAATAAAAAGTAAACTCATGTATACAGTGTCAGAAATAAGATTTTTAAATGTAAGGACAGTACTTTACGTCTAATGATTTACAGCCATACTGTAGTATTACCTAACACCCACTTCATATTCTGATGTTCCTAGTTGTCCCCAAAATGTCTTACAGCTGGTTGGACAAAGTATGATATTATCAAGAACGTGAATTACCTTTAGTTGTTAGGCTTTTGAGTCTTCTTTAACCATGAATAGTCCCTTTCTTACTTTTTTCTCTGAGATACTGATCTGTTGAGGGGATAGATCACTTGAACTTTGGGATATCCCATTATCAGTAGGATTTATCTGATTGTTTCCTTGTGTTTCTTTATCTTTTTTGTTTTTTGTAAACCTAAGGTTAAATGTAAAGGCTTTATTAGACTCGAGATCAGCGGGAATATTTTATAGGTGATACTCGGTTAAACAGATTTCTGAGGGACTCATGTGCTGCTGTCGTTTATAACTTTCTTAGATAATAGAGAAGATGCCTTCTGCATCCTGCGACATACTACTGGATGACATAGAAGATATCGTGTCACAGGGAGATTTAAAGCCACAAGATAGGCATTCTGCACGAAAGCACGTTGTTCCAAAGGCACGAAAGCGAAACACCCAAAAATATTTGCAAGAGGAAAACAGTCCACCAAGTGATAGGTAAGCTCTTGTTTTGAAATTATATTCAGTATGCTCAGGGAAGAAACTGGTACTGCCGGATGTGATATACATAATGTCTCTTTCTGAAAGTCTTTTGAACTCTTGAGAGCAGATATGTAGATTTATATTTTTATTTGAATGGTTTTAAATTTAGCAAAATAATTGCTTAAGAAAGAAAAGGTTGTGAGATGGTGTATTTCTTGAAGATAGGGCCAAGGGCATTATTTGACACAAACAGCATCTCCGCCCCCCCCCCCCGCCCCCCCGCCCCCCGCCCCAGCCCCTGCTCCACTGACCCAGGATCTTTGATTCCACTACTGTGGTTGGTATAGAATCTTGTGTTACTTCCAAATTCAAACTTTTCCTGGAATTTTGAATTCTTGAGATGGTGGTTTGTTGGTTTGGGTACTTCATTTTTCTTAACAAATTTACAAGTACTTATGGATCAGCTAAAGGCGTTGGGCACAAATAAATTCATGCTGTTTTATTATGTTAGGTCTGTAGAGTGAAATTCTAAGACAAACTAGCCAGAAAGGGTTATGCAGTTGTTATGGCTTTAATATGCTTACATTTGTTTAGCTAGTAAATTGTTGAAAGTTTTAATACACTTGGTTATTTTGTTTGGATCAGTAAGCTTTTAAAATCTGTGAATTTAAACTGTCCTTATATCTTAACGACTGAAGTTTATCAAATTTGCTTTGAATGTCTTTAAGGTAATTTCTGTTTAATTTCAAGTTATTAGGGCAGTCCAAGTTGAAAGTCCTTTTTTTCCCTTCCTAAAAATATTACATTTTTATAACTCTATATATGGGATATTTTTAATTCTGCTATAGGGTGATAGTTTTTCTGTTTTGAGTCAGCTGCTTATATGTTAGTTATAAAGATTGTAACTATTATATAGGAGTCAGTGAGCAGGTAGATATACTTAGTTTTTCTTTCTTTGCTTCTGTTGCTAGAACCATTTTCTTTGCTGTTGTTATTTGTATTACCTTTCTATGAGTTTAACTTTGCGATAGTACATTAGTAGTACCGAATTTAAAATACAGTTCTGAGCAAAAGGAGATCTTGTTATGTAGAGAGACTTAATTTAAAATATAATTCAGAGAAAAAGGAGATCTAATTTTTTTTTTTTTAAGATTTTATTTGTTTATTTGATAGAGATCACAAGTAGAGAGGCAGACAGAGAGAGAGAGGAAGGGAAGTAGGCTCCCCGCTGAGCAGAGCCCGATGCAGGACTTGATCCCAGGACCCTGGGATCATGACCTGAGCCGAAGGCAGCGGCTTAACCCACTGAGCCACCCAGGCGCCCTGAGATCTAATTTTATATAGAGAGTCTTAACTCAGAATCCCGTGGTTATTTTATTTTGATTATAGACTTGGTGTAGCAATTGATTGTGGATTAAGTTGGTGTATTTCATGAACAGATTGTGAATAGGTTGTTGTGTGTTTTTGAATGATATGCTCAGAAATCATCTTGTGTTTTTTTTTGTTCCAAAAATCCCTTGATGAGACTTACTTTTTTTTTTTTTTTTGATGGATTTTTTTGTAGCACCATTCCAGGCATACAGAAAATTTGGTTGCGAACATGGGGTTGTTCTCATAATAATTCTGATGGAGAATATATGGCTGGACAACTAGCTGCTTATGGATATGAAATTACAGGTAATGAGATCTGTAATGCATTTTATTGAATGAATGTTTCAGAGCTAATTTTTTCAGAGATATGTATTTTAGTGTCAACAGTTAAAGCATATTTTAACGTAATTTAATGATAAGGCAAAACAAAATGATAGCTATTACACATTGTCTGGATAATTAAAGATATCCTATTTTAAAAGTACTTCCAAAAACTATTTTGAAATGAATTTAGGCTTACAGAAAAGTAGTAAATTTAGAGTTTGCATATGTCTATTATCCAGCTTCCTCTAATATTAACATCTTACATAATTCTACTGTGTTTAATAAACTGGGCAGTTAACATTAGAGCAATACGCTTACTTAAACTGCTTATCTTATTTGAATTATACGAGTTTTCCCATTTACACTCCTCTTCTGTTCCGGGATCCAATCTAGGATCTCACTTTATATTTATTGGTAATGTCTCCTTAGTCTCCTTCAGTCTGTGAGAGTTCTTCAGTTTTTTCTTGTTCTTTATGTCTGTGGACTGCTGAGGAAAACCAGTGAGTTACTAGTTATTTTGTAGAATGCCCCTCACCTTGCGTTGTCAGATGTTCCTTCTTGATTAGCGTAAGGTTATGTATGCAGTCTTGGCGAGAAGGGCCCATTGGGTTCCTGATGGATCATAGTTTCTCATGAATCAGTATGTCTTATTACCAGTGGACTACTATATCTGCCAGATTTCTCCATAGTAAAGTTACTACTTTTTCTCATTGTAATTAGTAAATATCCTATTTCTCCTCAACCTTTTCTCTACTAATTTTACTATCTTGATAATTTTAGTATCTGTCCATGGAACTTGTTTGCAGCAGTCATTATGGTTCTGTTTGTTGAGTGGTGATTATCTGTTTTCTTTTCTTCTATACTTACTCACCGGGATTCTTCTGGAAGGAAAGACTACCCTTTCTCCCCTGTTGTATTTATGTGTATCAGTGTGAATTTACATACTGAGTATTCTCTTCTGTGGGTTATGGTCCAATACCGTCATTATTAATTCCGCTGCCCGTATTGTTCTGGCTTTGGCCATAGGGCCTCATTCAGGCTGGTTCCCGTGTCTTCTCAACATGTGCCCATTTTTTTGAGCACTTCCTTATTTTGTGACACCACAAGATGTTTTAGTCTCCTATTTCCGCTTCCCTAGCCTTGGAAGCAGCCACTTCTCCAGGTAGTTCTGATTCCTTTCACAAGAAGAATGGTGTTGAGAGGCACACCAGGGCTGTGGACACTAGGTGTGCTCATCACCACCATGAAGTGTCTGTGCTCCTAGGTGCTCTCTGGGGACTGAGCTGGGAAATACGTGTATGTAGTAACCGGCGCGTACACACATTCATGTTACTGTCGCTGGTGGCATGTACATTAAATGGGGTCATAATCGAATGCTTTGTGACAGGGACTGGCCCAGCGCTTTCTGTATGTTACCTTAGTTAGTTTTCGGGCGATGAGGAAGTGTTGATATCTGTACTTTACAAACGAGAATGGAGGGATTGTGTCCTACCTTAAATCACCCAGTGAGGTCTCTGTCACTCCGAAACACTGAGACCACTATTCTGTAGCTCCTACTGTCTGTGTGATTGGCAAGGTCCTAGCCTCAAGAGGGCCTGAGAGAATTTGGGAGGATTGGAAACTCCTTTCCTAGCAGTCTATCCTTCAGCAACTAAATAATCCGAATGTCTTACTCTGCGTTTTTGGTCATTTATTCTTTAGACAGTGAAATCACCCTTAATATTAAATTTTGTTCTTTAGATAAAAGTATCAAAATGTGCTTTTAGAATTATTTCTCTAAAAAAAGAGAATTATTTTTCTGTATTCATTAGTAATTTTTAGTGTAAGTTTGTGGGTTTGCCTTAATATTTCCTGATGGTGCAGTTTGGGTATTCGGACAGTAGCCTGTGAGATGATCTCCTGAAACATTTAAAAAAATTAGCTTGACTTTTCCTTGGTGGCATTAAATGTCTAATGCATTTTAATTTAAATTTTAGTCTATTAGCAGAATGTATTTGGTCTTATTACAGTACTTTTCTAAATAATAAAGGTAAAACAACTGTCCTGGTGTATTTATACAAGAATGCTAGGTTTTGTTACATTTTAGCTGCTTATTTGGGAATAGTGAAAACGGAGGATTAAGGGAGCAATCACTTGAATATGAAATTCATTTTTCTTAATGTGGTATATTACTTTTATATAGTTGTATTGTCTGTATGTATTTGTATTGACGTTATGTACTGTTGGTTGTCCCCGCTTTAGAAAGTTGTAGTGTGTGTTTAATTCTAGTCTGGCTTGCATGCAGCAGACTGTGGAATCTCTTTTCTCCCCGGTCAAATGCTGTAGCCCAGGAAGAATGAACAATAGGAGCTTCTGTAAGACCTTTAAAGGAAATCTCTACAGATTCTATACTTAGGTTGAATATATGAGATGAATGATTTCTGGGATATCTGTGCCAGTAGTCTCTTCCATTACTGTGGAATGGTGGGAGTTTATAAAAACTATTATTGCTAAATAATTTGACATGTTTTATTGATGGGATGTAGACCGAAAATATTTTCTTTTAACTTTATAATTGATGTGAATAGGTATAAAATACAGGTTATGTGAAATATACACAGATCTCTGGAAACAGTATATAAGATGTTCGGAATTAGCGTTCAGTTACCAATAATAGATACTTTTACTATTTGGGGAGAAGAGAGATTATGTGGGTATATACTTAAAATTGCTTTTTACTATGTGAACCCAGGGATATAATTATTCCATAGGGAAATCTGATAGAGGCTCTGAGCAATTAGCTCTTGTCCAATATCTCTTTTTTTTTTTCCTAAAGATTTTATTTATCCATTTGAAAGAGAGAGAGAGAGCCCAAGCAGGGGGAGCGGTAGAGGCAGAGGGAGAAGCAGACTCCCCACTGAGCTGGGAGTCTGCCGTGGGGTTCGATCCCAGGACTTCGGGATCATAACCTGAGCTGAAGGCAGATGCTTAACGCCTGAGCCAGCTGTGAATAAACATAGCATGTGCTTTTTGGTTAGTGGAAAAAAGTCCATTGCGCAGTCCTTGACTGAGGTTCTAGTTCATAGGCATAAGAGAAGCATGTGAGTTACAAACGTGGAGTGTTGTGATAAGCTTACATAGGTTGGAATAAGGCATTTTGTTTGGTTGCCCCCAGTTTCAGAGACATAATTTCTAAATTGCTGGGCTTTTGTGGTTCCTGATAGTTCCTTCATATATTTGTAGATCATTTATTCATTCTACACGTGTGGCCTGATCATGGTGTGTGTTACAGGGTATAGGGCTAGGAGGTGTGAGGATGTGAAAACGAACTAGATGTGGATTCCAGCAGATGAAAAGTTTATTGTTTTTTTGGCAGAGGAAAAGCCTTCGTATTGTGTGTTACTTGTTAGAAGTTATTTAGTAAATGGTCAAGCTCTTAATGTATCCTTTTATGATACAGTGAAGTAGGACCTGCTTTGTTTGAAGAGTTTTTACTGTTTCTGTTTTAGAAATGCTTTGTGATAATGTCAAGTCAGAAATAACATTTACTTTTTTAATCATGGTAAGTGTAGTCTTTAATGCCCATCACCTATTTAACCAACCCTCTACCCATCTCCGCTCTGGTAGCCATCAGTTAGTTCTCTATAGTTAAGAGTCTGTTTCTTGGTTTGTCTCTTTTTTTCCTCTGTTCTTTTGTTTCTTAAATTCCACATATGAGTGAGATCATGTGGTATTTGTCTTTCTCTGATTGATGTATTTCACTTAGCATAATATTCTGTAGCTCTATCTGTGTTGTTGCAAATGGCAAGATTTCATTCTTTTTCATATATAAATTTAATATATAAATTTCGTATATAAATACACACACACACACCACCTCTTCTTTATCCATTTACCAGTTGATGGACACTTGGGCTGCTTCCATAATTTGGTTGTTGTACATAATGCTGCTGTTAACATAGGGGTGCATGTGTCCCTTTGAGTTAGTGTTTTCATATTTTTTGGGTAACCAACCAGTAGTGTGATTACTGGATCATAGAGTAGTTCTATTTTTAATTTTTTATTTTATTTTAAAGATTTTATTTATTTATTTGACAGAGAGAGATCACAAGTAGGCAGAGAGGCAGGCAGAGAGAGGAGGAAGCAGGCTCCCCGCCAAGCAGAGAGCCCGATGCAGGGCTCGATCCCAGGACCCCGAGATCATGACCTGAGCTGAAGGCAGAGGCTTAACCCACTGAGCCGCCCAGGCGTCCTGTAGTTCTGTTTTTAATTTCTTGAGGAACCTCTCCATGCTGTTCTCCACAGTGGCTGCACCAGTTTGCATTCCTACCAGCAGTGCAAGAGCGTTCCTTTTCCTCCATGTCCTTGCCAACACTGGTTGTTTATTGTGTTTTTGATTCTAGCCAGTCTCGGAGGTGTGAGGTGCGATCTCATTGTAGTTGTGATTTGCTTTTCCCTGATGATAAGTGATTTTGAGTATCTTTTCACATATCTGTTGACCGTCTTTCTCTCGTCTTTGGGCCAATGTCTGTTCATGTCTTCTGCCCAGTTTTTAATTGGATTGTTTTTTGGGTGTTGAGTTGTATCAGTTCTTTATATATTTTGAATACTAACCCTTTAATGGGTCTGTCATTTGCACATGTCTCCTTCCATTCTGTAGGTTGCCTTTCAGTTTTGTTGATTGTTTCCTTTGCTGTGCAGAAGCTGTTTATTTTGATGTAGTCCTAATTTATTTTTGCTTTTATTTTCCCTGCCTCGGGAGACCTAACTAGAAAAATACTGCTATTACTGATCTCAGAGAAATTACTGCCTATGCTCTCTATAAGGATTTTTATGGTTTCAGGTCTCACATTTAGGTCTTTAATCCATTTTGAGTTTATTTTTGTGTATGGTGTAAGAAAGTGGTACAGTTTCATTCTTTTGCATGTTGCTGTCCAGTTTTTGCAACAACCATTTGTTGAAGCGACTGTCTTTCCCCGTTGGGTATTTATTCTTCCTTTTTT